ATATAATGCTCTGGTAAACGCCATTCCAACTAAATGGAGAGTGTCATATGATTTTGACGGAGTACATAAAATCAAGTTATTTGAAAAAGAGGTGAAAGTTCAAACTAATAGTTTCTTTAGAAATATACTAATCTTACAAAAAGCAGCAAAACCTATCTCTCAAGGTTTCTGGGAGTCACGCCTTCCACATTTTGATTTCCATATTAACACGTGGAAGTCCATATGGGAAGCACCTTTTCGAATCACTAAAGAACCAAAATTGAGATCATTACAATGGAAGATTCTACACAATATTTATCCAACAAGAGTTAGTTTATGTAAAGAAGGAATAGTAGCAAACAATAGATGTATTGTATGTGACTCTGTCGAATATATAGAACATTTCTTTTTTGATTGTGCACTTGTTAAACCTTTATGGGCAGAAGTTGAAAAGAGTTTTCTCTCCGAATATGGATATACATTGACATTAACCACTCAAGATGTTATTCTTGGATATCACCTTCCTAATGTAAAGCAATTTTTATACATCAATGAACTAATATTGCTGGGAAAAAGCACAATTTCTAAGTTTAAGTATGGTACGAATTGTATGGACATTGTTACACAGTTTAATTTTGAACGTTCATTAAGGAATTTATTCTAAACATTGGGTTTAAAACTACAAGATATAGATAGTGAAAAATGTGTATTAATTAACTATTTCTTCATTCTTTGTACAGCTATGAATACATTTTTGTTATATTAATGTTATTTATAAGACTAGGAAAAGTTGACAGAATTGTATACGATGGCATACATGCCTCAGATCGCAAATGTTCCACGAACTGTTGAATAAAGCACAATTAAAACTGGAAAAAAATATAGATATCACAAGGCTTGTCTCTCAACCAGGTAAATATTTGACTACGCTTCCTACGGTCGCCTAAGCAATTGCAGTTATAGCTACAAATACTAATTTTTGGAAATGTCATGAGATGTTTTAACGGAAATTGAGAAATTATCTACGCTATGAGGCGACCGTAGAAAGGCAAAGGATGGATAGAATAAAATCATCAGTATGCTATAATAGAGTAAATGGTAATAGGAGTTAACTGAACAAAGTATCCACAAAGTGGATTCAACAAGATGTTGGGGTGAAAACAGCAAAACAAACAAATAAATGTCATGAGACAAAGTAGGAACTATTACAAAACAATAGTTGATCAAATACAGAATAATATGGAACATAAGTCCAAACTGAACATAAATCTGAAATGTGGAACATAAATCCAAACACAGAAACACAAGATTGGATAGTTCACAAGAAACAGTAAAATAAGAAAGCATACAGTTTCTTATGCTTGTTGCTTTAGCTCCATAAACTATTACTATTTCCTTGTCCACAAGTAGATCAAAACATATTTAGGAAAGAAAACAAATTAAGTAAATAACTTAGAGACAAAGTACTCATCTTAGACATATCGGTGCCAACTGAAAACTAAAAACAGGCTGGCAAATATAATATATCACAAAGGCAAATCATAATCATATAAAAAAGAGAACAACAAAACAAAGAAAAACAAGGAAGTGATTTCTTTTCGCCTGGCATGCGCTTTAGATACGCTTAATTAGCAGCTGTCCAAAAAAACTCTTCAGACCTAGTTGTGAAGTCAGCCACTTTTTCATGCAAATTTAATGCCACAGGTGGTGCACATTCACCATTCCTTACAGAGTACCAGAAATATATACAAAAAGTTTGTCGACAATAACATTGCCAGAGAATACAAAGTTGAAACATATAAAAAAATAACCATACTTAATATTCTCATAATATCCTGGTGCAGTTTGATAACAGTCTAAAGTTTGTAATATCATATTAATAACAGATTTAAAGTCAAAGAACATCTATCAGAGACCAATCACACATCTCTTTTTGACAGCACAATGTCAACTGCATCAATTCTTCTCTTTTCCTTTCCGTTGACAAGCAATACAGCGTAGGTATCCTTGGCAGGTACAAGGATAGATACCTTACTGTTGTTGTCTTTAGCAAGTTCAGCGTTTCTTTAATTTACAAGCTGCGAGCGCGCTGTCTGTAAGGGAGGGGGGAGGTGTTCATAAACTGCTAACCCACGAGAGTTCCCCCTTAGCCTGCGCCCAGCAGACAAGACTTTATCACGGTCCTGAAAGTTGACAAAACGTGCGAGCAGGGGCGGGTTGGGACTCGAGGTAGTCGGCCTGGACAGTCGATGCACTGCGGCGGTCGGCATAGCGTCCGCGGCCGGTAAGTGTAACTCCTCCGCCAGGAAACGTGTCAGGACCCGCGCAGAGTCTTCCTCCTTGTTGAAGGGCAAACCTCTAACGATTACATCCGGCTTCATAGAATATCGTTCAGTCAATAAGACTGCCCTCACCCTCTCTCTCTGTTCCTCGCGTAAAGCATCGCGGCGAGTATCCAACTCGCCAGAGTAGAACTCGGGATGGAAGTGTTAGTGTGAATGTCATTCAGCACCAGGGACAGGGATAGAAGTGTTAGTGTGAATGTCATTCAGCACCAGGGACAGGGATAACAGTGTGTATGCAACTTTCATTTTATCTTGCAGGGCCTTACACTTGTTCTACCGAGTTCACCGGCTGCTCCTTACGTAATCCACGTCCAACTTCACTTCCACGCTGCAAAACTCAGATGGGAATAGCTGAAGGGATTCACAGGTAACGCGCGTTACAGGTTTAACTCATGAGGGTTTGTATGCTCATGTATGCTACTATTTATAATTGGACTTCACCCTAAATCGGCCAGATATAGGCCACACCTACTTGTCTATACAAATAAAAAAGAGTTAAATTGGGGTCAAATTGTACTCGTGAACATGCCATGGACACTGCTGACTTACTCCGGAATAGTTGCTGACTTACAGTCGAACACGAGCCGAATCACTATCATCGAATCTCCCAACCAAACCATATTTTGATACATTAAGGTCTCTCATTTTGAAACATAGCCGAATTCGCCGAACACCAGTCAACTTTGTGCCAGTCTATTCCAAACCATGGTTGGGGGCATTCGGCTAGTGTTTGGGAGTCCAAGTTTGTGAATAAGGGAGTAAAACATTGATTTTGTGTGGGAGGGGGGTGGATGTGTGGTGTGGGTCTTGAATGTATTGTCCACACACACACACACACACACACACACACACACACACACACACTATGTGTGTGTCTGTGTCTGTGTGCAATTGAAACACACAATACAGCATTGCCATATATCCTCCTACCTTTTCCGTCTGTCGTGGACAGCATGGGCAATGTGGTAAGGTCTGCCATCTCTGATTGCCCTGTTTGACATATGTTTCAGGTCAACAGAACCACTTCCGATTTCCCGCATGGTGGACTCTGTCTTACACGGCGAAGCTGGGCTGGTATCATGTACAGACATGTACATCAGTGGATATTCCTGGTCAATCTTTGAACCAATTCCATATAGTTCTTACATGTTTGCTCCCATATATGGCCTCAGGAACCCAATCACATACCAAAAAGATCTGACAATTCCCAAACAGGCATTGCTGCCGGGCACATACATGGTTCAGGTAAGGGCAAACTGAAACACATTTTGGTATCGGTATTGTAACAACTAGTATTTCTATCTCACTAATCTTTTCTCACATTCTGTCAATTCTTTCCTTTCCATAAAATTTACCTGCATTCTAATTGTTTGGCTTACCGCTGATTTCTATATTGTACACCCATTACTTTACCAATCCTTTTGCGCGTACTTGTGACGTCACCTATCTTTTTCTGTAAAGTTACTGTTAAATGATATCTGAAATTTACAACGATTATTGTGATCATATACTAAGTACTTCCTGGAGGTTTGGAATCTCAGATTTCTTGTTATATATATTTGGATGTACGGATCGATCTTGTACTTATACCAACACCGGTGACGTCATAAAATGACGTCATGCATATTTTTTTCATGATAAAGCCTAAAATACATTGTAAACATACTAAAGACCTTCATTTAAACCTTTTTTGGAAAAAGAAATGGAAGTATTGATGAAATTTTAATGAAAATAACCTGTATATACCTGTTCTAATGATATGGTCCGCCATCTTGGATTTTGGCCAATGACGTCATCAAATTAGCATAAATTATGCATATTTAATGATAAAATTTACATAAAATTATATGGGATGTTATTAATATTAGAAACCATGAGTAACTTGACATAAAACCCATAAAATTCTTGTTGAAACAAAAAGTACTAAATTTAGCAAAAAATGCCTGTCAGAAACCCGTTGCCATGGCAATACAAAAAATTATTATCTTATTCCAATGATAGAGAATTGTTGCCAACAATATTCTAGGAAAAGTCACCAAGTTTGGCCGTTCTACGGCTAGCCGTTCAGACGCTAGGTGACATCAAAGT